CTTAGTTACACTTTTCTAGTACTGTACCGGACCCCCTCCTCCTACATTCAGAACAGTTTTAATTCTTTATGGCATAGATTCAGCAAGATGCTGGAAATATTCCTCAGAGAAACTGGTCCATATTGACATGATAGCAGATTTGTAAGTTGCACATCCATGACGGAAATCTCCCAATACACCACATTTCAAAGATGCTCTATTGGATTCCGATCTGGTGACTGTGAAGGCCATCTGAGTGAACTAATTGTTATGTTCAAGACACCAGTTTGTGATAATAGGAACATTGTAAAATTGTGTGTTGTCAGCTGGAAGTAGCCATCACAGGATGGGTAGTAATAAAGAGATGGCCCACACTAGTATACCACCACTATCATCATCAGTTTTTGATACAAGCCAGGATGGATCTATGCGTTAATGTTTATATGAAATTCTGGCCCTACCATCTGAATCGCTCAGCTGAAATCAGGACTCATCAGACCAGGCAACTTTTTCCAGTCTTCTCTCTAATTTTGGTGAGCCTCTGTGAATAGTATCCTCAAGCTCCTGTTCTTAGCAGACACAAGTAGTGCCAAGCGTGGTTGTTTGTTACATCTTCTTCAAGGCTGGATATGTTGTGAATTCAGAGATGCTTGTCTGTATACCTTGATTCTAACGAGTAGTTACTTGATTTAATAATCATAGTTACCTGATTCTCATTTACACAGGTTACGTAAATGCTTTAAGTTACTGCCATATAAATGGCCCATTAGATATTTGTGTAATCCGAAGCAGAACCTAATGAAGTGGCCAGGTAGTGTGTTCTACTATGTTAGCAAAACTAATACTTGCATAAATTTGTAATTTTTAAGTCCTGGACAGAAGTTTGCAGAAGTCAGAGGATTTTTGGAAACTGTGTTACTGTATTAGGATCAGTAACACAGTTTCCATCTAGTTTAGCTCCATCTAGTGTTGATTGGAAAAAAAAGGACAGGACTGGGAAAGGCTACATCTATAGCCATATTTTTTTTTCTCTTAATGGGAAGCAAAAATGGTTTAATAAATATATTGATAGAACTTATGGATTAAGTGGGTTTTGTTGACTTCACACACCAAATGAACACTATTTTATTTATTCTGAACATTTGCCCTTCCAAGTATTCCATGCTACTGGTTTAAAAGGTGGGGTACCTGCTTTCCTTTTAATAGAAAGTATTATTATTCCTCTGTTTTCTGCTCCCTTTAAGAAGTCACCACAGCTGACAATCTCCCTCAATCTCAACTTATCCCTACCATGCTCTTATGTCACCCTCTGCCTATCCTTCTTCAGTGCATGCATGAATCTTCCTTGTGGTCCTCTTGTTTCATACTTAACAACCTTTGCACACCTAAACAATCTTGCATTAAACACATAGCCCCGTGAAAAAGAAAGCAACCCCCTCCAGCAGCTAAATATGTTCACCTGGCCTCCAAACTCCCCAGCTAATAATCAAGAATCCCTGGGATATGCCGTAATAACCCTGATCCACACAGACCCCACCCTGCAACACGCAGGATCCAATTTCCCATTGCCAGACACTACAGGATGCCCCCACAGTTCCCTTATTCACACTCCAATGGGTCAGAAGTGTTCAGGCAGCATAACAGCGGACCTATACAATATTTTGCAGATGGTTTTATAGCCATGTTGTGATTTCTTGGTATTCCTGTAGTAACTTCTTGAGCTAAATACAATATACTCCCCTAACAGAGACATATGGAAACTTAGGCTTTCATCTTTTTCTTTGATTTGAATTGCGTGCATACATATAAAAATAGGAATTTTTCAACTTTTAGAGAGAAAACATTCACTTCAATGAGGAGACTAAAATATCTAAGAGAGATGTCAGTGTTTCATAATGTCATAGTGCTTTTGCCTACCTTGGTACCTTTGAGTATCAAAAAGGTATGAATAAGGGTGGAAGTTTGATTTGGGAAAGTGATGAATCTGTCAGAGGGCACTTTGTTCTTTACACCTGTAAATGGCAGTAAAATGGGAGTCTTTTTAATACTATTATTAATGTTTTGTGTGATTTGAAAAAGAATCATAATTCAAGTTGAAAATTGAAAAAGCCTTACCTGATCTCCTCTTTCTGCTTAGCTCTGATGCCCCCTCTTTTCCTGATACCTGTTGCCAGAAAGAACCCATATAGTTTTATGTACTGTGACTTACAACTAGATTTTTGGTTTTACACATAAGATAAATTGTTTTGTAACCATAATATCAGAAGGAGTTGGCGGGATAATATTACAGTCGCATGTCCGTCTATGATACCTATGATATTCTGACTATGATACCTGTATTAACAACCACAAGGAGAGACACCTGTACACTGAAAAACAGAACAGGTCTCTGTTCATGCATTTAGAATTACTAATAAAAAAGATGGATGTGCTTTTGTGGTAACATTACAACTTACAGTCCAAATACCAATTGACTATTTTTTTTATTTGTTGCCTGGCAAGCTCTCTTTTTCTGTGTTATCCTGATGTCTATATCTAAAACAAATAATAAACCCTTAATTTCCCACACTAGTTACTATAAGTACAGGTAATTTAATCTACTTGCCAAGCATGTGATGACTGGAAAATGTCATTTGGCAATAAATGTAAACAAGTGCGCTAAGCCAGTCTTATAAGGCTTCTTAGATTTACCAAGAAATAAGGGCTTATACTTTTTTCCCCCCTTTTTTCCTTCCTTTATAACAGTAAGTATAATATCAACCATAGACTTTATTTAAGAGCTACTGGTGCCAACATGCGATCAATACCAGTTAGTGTTGGCAAAGTTAAAACTTAGAGCACGCCCTGTCAAAACATTTAGTTTTTGACAGAACTCCATTATCTGTAAGCAAACTTTGATTTGTACACTGCTAGCAATTCAACTTTGCGGTGAGTTGAGCTGACCTTAAAATGACTGAAAAATCAAATTTAATATGACTTTACTGCCTTATTTTATGTTCCCAGAAAGCTAAAGCCCTGCATAGCCTGGATCATCTTGTGCTCCAGTAGATGACCCTTCTCTCAAAAGTCCTTGCTGATTCTTATTTCTGTTTTAATTATTTTTAAATTGAAATACTACATAAACATAAGCCATATACATAAAACACTACACAACACATACATAGACCAAGGTAGATAAGGGAAATGAGGGGAAAAAAAAGACAAATCATTTTCAACAGTTACATTTCTTTGACCTTCATATCAACATAGTGTTGCATCTGCAAATATATAGAAATCTTGCTTTTATAATAAATATTTCTCTTTAAACATTTCAAAACTGTGCAGTTTTCCTTCTTTCATTATATTGTATAGAAATCCGAATGCACACAATAAAATCACAACTCATGGATTTGATAATATAAATGTCTTGCTCTAGTTTATGTTCTTTTATAACAGTTTTATATACCTTAAGAGTCAATTTCACCTAATATTTACATAACCTTGTTATCTGATACAATTGGCTGTATGGGAATGGGAGGTATTTTCTTTTTAGTGTTTTTCCATGTGTATTTTATGATGGGCTACATAAGTACAATAGCACTCATCTGTGCTGCAAAACAATAATCTCTAAAAGAAGTTAGTCCCAATCTCCCCATTGCAAAGTGTTGAGATGAACTGTAGGTCTTGTAGGACCTTGCCCCTTCTAATTCTCTAGCAAATAACTTTCTATAGAAGATGGGGATAAAACAGTAACCAACAGAAACTGTCTTTATCCCTTTGTTTAATAGTATTTGATTTTTGTCACACCTGCAATTATTATCAAGCTAGTATTAGGAACAGCTTAAGGTAGGCAGAATAATTCCCTCTATCCGATTGTTCAGTCTGACGTCACTA